CTGTTCATTCATGCAGTTGCTTAGTTTACAATACACATTTTTATTTAAGTGGTATTACTCTGCAGAAATTTGATTTCACTTCGACACTGTAGATGTTTGTTAAAAATGCTGATTCTTTTTGAGCATGGTTGATTAATGACAGCAATGCAATCATAAAACATCTACGGTGGTAAATACTTTTTATAGGAAATGTAAAGAGAAGCGTCGAATATACTTTCAGGAAGTATTTAAAACTGGCCAGTATCATTTTTAATGTCTCAACTTGGTGACCAAACTGACCAAAAAACAAAAAGCAGTTTTCTAACTAAACCAACAGATGGCAGTAGTGACCAATAAGGACTTGTAACCATTGCAGATCTTTTCATCCAAAACATCTACCAGAATTTACTCTCTTCTACATTGTTCATATATCTTTAATTTTTCTTTTTCATACCTTTCTTTAAAATTATACATTTTAACCAATAAGTGCAGTGTGTGCCAGAAATAACTAAGAATACCGGTATACAGTTTCCACAAGGCAGGGTAATTCATCTTTAGAGTAATTTATTCAGATTGACGGTACTCGTTTTGTTTCGCGTCTATAATTTTTTTTGTCTAGTTTTAATGACTTTGTAATGAATACCTTTAACATTTAAAAAACCTCTGTTTAAAAAATATTTAAAATATTGGTTCTGAGCTACACTAAGTTATAACAGTTAGCTTTTAATATACGAGCTGTAAGAGAAAGAACAGACAATTGTACGTAAACTCTACTCGTTATCCATGAGTGTCCAAGTCACATTCAAGTCCCCAATTTATTTCTACATGAATCCAGGTTATCCAGACCTCAACAATGCCTTCAGGAGCATCATTCAGTACTCTGCAGTCTCACTTTGGTTTATTCTGTGATTCTATGAGCTGAAAAGTTCATCTTCTCACACATCAACCACAGCTAACTCACACTTACCTATTTCTTATATTCATTTTTTAATATATAGCATTTAACAACAAAGTTTTTCAAGGAACTAAGGCTTGAATATCCTTCACTTAATGGTAAATAACCAAATGTAAAAGTAAATATAACTCAATTAAAGATTCTGCTTTAATCCTCACCTGTGAGTCCTGGGAGACGGTGCTTGAACCCGCTGTGGTATTGGTGGTGGGCCCTTAGGTCCTCCTAACACTTTTGGAGGAAGAGGTGGAATACTTTTTACTTCGGAGGCAGACGGGCCAGGATTGACAGGTGAAGTCTTTTTAACTCCAACACTACTTAAAGTTAGGACAGATGGTTGAATGGCCAATGTCTGTGGCCTACTTTCAGTGAACTGGATGTTGGGAATGGGGAATGGTGCTTCAGTGGGAACAGGGGTACTGATAGAACTAGAAACTGAAGGCAGAGATCTGCACAGTACAGGTGGGGTTAAGGTACTTTGTTGATCTGTTCTCAAGCAACCAGAATGTAAAGAGCGTGGTGAGAGACTCTGGGAAGTGGTGAAGTGCTGTAGAGGGCAGTTATTAATGCGTGGGGGTACAGGGGGTAGGGAATAGTCAGACGATGAAGGCACATGGGAGGCAGCGTAGCAGTCGATTGGAGAACTTGTGCAAAATTTAGTCCTCTGTTTTGGTATGGGTTTTTCCTTTTCTTCATCCATTTCTAAATTGCTGTCATCTTTTTTTTCAGCAGGTACCGAGCTTCTTTTTCCTGGAACGGGCTTTAGTGCTTCTTCTTCACTGTTCTCCTGTGTTTTAGACCAATACCTTTGCTTTGGGACTGGTTTACGTCTCTCACAAGGAGTCGGTCTCCATGTCTCTTCATCTCTTTTGTCTCCTTCCAGATTTTCTCCCCACACAGGGACAGGAACAGGTACTTCTTTTCGCATGACTTCAGCAAGACCTGTTTGCTCTGCGTTATGAACACTGTGCATATTGTTAAGACTGGTCAGGATGCGTCTCTGGTGACCTGGCCTGGTGATGCCCATTCGATCCAGCTGATTTGGTGTGAGGTTCAGACACTCGTGCAGTGTTTCCATCCCAGCACTCTGAAATGCTTCCATGTACTGCTCCAAACGCAGCTTGCATAACCAGTCCAGCACCTTAGTATTGGGTTCGGACTGAGACATGATCGAGCTGTATGCGTCTGATGCATGTGTGAGTGTCAGCATGCCAAAAGTCCTCTTCCGCAGGGAAAATGCAAACTTTAGCACCTCTCAAATCATGGCTTGACAACCTGTGGATGAGGAAAATATGCATTACATTCAATAATAACAGGCCTAATTAAGAACTTTTAATAGTTGGTCTTTAAAAAAAGCAACTGGCTCACGCTTTTTTCCACTTTAACTAACGTATTTTTTGCCATAAACATCACACCGCCCCATAAGTTGCATCAGTCCAAGGATGTCTAAT